TATATATATAAGATATCCCATAATGACTTCATAATCTCTTGTAGACAAATAGAACAAACTAAACTGAATCGAAAAGTCCTCTACCATCTTGCAATTTTTGCAACTTTTTTTAGTTACCTAATAAGCAGAATGTTTAAAATCGATATAAGACAACTTTAAAACATCTTTAAGAGCTCTTAAGATACATCTTTATGATATTTCAAAAAGAATTCTGAAAAATATTTTAAATTTGTCTTATTATATGCGTCGATTTTATTCTTTGGCAGTTTTTATAGAAATTAATATCTTTTTAACAAAAATTGCGAAAATTGCAAAATAGTAAAAGATTTTTCAATTCAGTTTAATTCGCTCTACCTATCTACGAGAGATTATGCGGTCGTTACATTCTGTTATATATATAGATACATATATATAACACGTTTTTTATAAAGTCTTATTTCAAATTATTGCCACGTACACAGAATCAGATTCAATTTCGATAAATACTTTCATTTCTTTTATTATTTGTTATAAATTTAATAAGCAAATAAGAATTGTTCAATCAAAACTTCTTTGTCCATAATATAATGTGATTGTGGAGAAGTAAATTACTATTTTTTATTACAAATTACTTAATAAATTACACACAAATTACTAATAAGAAACACTCAATATACACGCTAATTTCGGTGAAATTACTATTTGATGAAAAATTACATTTCATGAGATTTTATTACTAAAAGTTTTGCAAATGATGAATAAGAATTTTATGAACAATTGTCAATATTTAATAGAGAAAATAGAAATGTTTATGGAAAATTGATAAAAATTGAAAAAAATATGAAAAATAATGATGTTCCGATGAAGTGAACGATAAAATTTACAAAACGTTGGCAATGTTGGCATTAGCAATGATCACGACACGGCGATAACCCGTGAACCCTTTGGTACCTCTGAAAATATGAAAACATTATAATGTCTAACATCATTTTACCATGAGTGTAAATAGTCATTTCCGATGTATTTTCGCTTGCAGAACACGAATATGTTGTCTAAATTGGCTATCATATCACAATTTTGAGAAAAACAACATTAAAGAGATAAAATAATAACTTTGGAGGTTTTTATGATGTCATTTTTTAAAATGTTATATAAATATTTTATACATATTTTATAAAGCTTTATTCGAAATATTATTAAAAGATAGACTAAATATTTAATGTAATATTTATGGAAAATATAAATAAATATTTCTATTAAGTATTTTTTATT